TCCCAGCCATTTACGAAGTCTTTTCTATTTCCCTTTAAAGGGTAATACTGTAGGCCCTTTGATACTCCTTTTGATATCGTATAGAGTTTCATTCCAAATGGGTAACACACATAATACTCGAGCATTGCACCTGTATAAAATCAATACCCAACCCAAGAGAAGGAAAAGTCGATTGTGTTCTTTTTATCATGTTCCTTCAGCAAATGAATGCTTACATTGACTTACTTTTCATATTGTAAAATGTTAACAAGATTTTCTCTCTGAGAAATATGAAAGACAAAGGATATAAATATAGTAATTAACCAAAATTATTAGTATAAAGGAAGTCCTTTCAACTCACCAACTTGCATTCGATGAGGCAGAGTTCGCAATTTGGAAATTGTTGAACTTAAAGCGTTAGCATCAATCTCAATATCCAACCCAATAACTGATAATGCAGCCACTGCAGCATTAGTGTAATTGTGATTCCCAACTGCCTTCAGCTCACCTAATTTTAGTTGTGAAATACATCTTATTGTAGGAAGCTTTAAGTCAGCAATCTTGGCCTCCACATCAACCTTCCAGTTACAGGTAAAATTTAAGATACTTCGTTACCAAAGACCACCAACAAAATTCTAAGAGGATAGGACAAGTGAAAATATTCGTCTCAGTTCGATCCTTTCAGGATGAAAGCACAAGAAATACTGATATTTCCTTTGTTCTTTATGATTGCTTTAAGCTGTTTCCTATGAACCAGTTGGAGAAAATAAAATAACTCATAACATCATGGATAACGAAATTACTAGAAATACCTTTTTTTTTTCCAACTTATTGCATTGTCATACATTCTCCCCAACAATTTTTTAATGGAATGTGGACAGCAGAATTTATCCCATTGGCACGGAATCAACAAACAATGTCATCCATATTTGGTATGGGAAATATTTGCTTTCTGAAGGACCTTAAGATGCATGGTTAAATCGACCAGCCCACTCTCTTCACACAAGTGACAATGCATGACTCAATTCTTTGATTTCTTGATCTTTAGGTATTAAGAAATAAAGCATCTTACACTGACACCAGGGCGAGCTCCAATCCAAGCAAGATTAACGCCATTTGCATGATCCATAATTGCTTCATCAAGATACTGGTTTCCTGAATAGATGTGAGGATGTTAGGAAAGCGAGGATATGAGATGGACACCAGTGAACTAATAATGATCTTTGATTTAGAAAAAAAATTGAGGCTCAACATCACAGGCATCACACTATTGACCCCAATAGGTCATTTTGTTCTTTTACCAGCTATTTTCATTCATCTTTTAAAAGACCGATATCATCATTGTTGTTTCAAACCTTTATATTTCTTTATCCATTAAAAAGTGGACGATTTCCAATACTTGCATATTTGGGTTCCTTAGCCAAAGCAAACATAAATTATAATGGTCATTTGAGACAAGCAAGCCAACATATTGGGTAACAATAGCTTTAGACAAGTCAAATATGAATGATACAATGTGCCCCATGTGTTTCCTCTTGATGAGAAATGCCAAAATTTAATCACTTACCAAGAGGAAGGATACCAATTTTCTGTCCTCTCATGTGCGAAAAAATTCGGCACTTGGTTGCAGCATAGTTCCTCATAGTTTGGTGCCTTTCGAGATGATCAGGAGTAAGATTAAGGATCACAGCAACCTAGACATGTTCTTATAATTAGAATAACACGAATATGTTTTTAGATGCACTAGTTATCAAAAAACGGACAGCCAACTTACTGAAGGACAGAAGTATTTGGGTGGGATTTCTAACTGATAACTACTGACCTCCACAACAGCAACCTGAAAATAAGAATATGAACAAAATTTATCAAGTATGAAAATCTCATACGCATAAATTAGGGGCTTGAATAAGTACAGGAAGGTCATACTTGCCTGTAAAGGTCTTTGGTGAGACCAAGTTAAGCACTGAAAAGCAGCTTCTGAAAGTGGAACTCCAAGGTTACCGCCAACGAATGTCTCGAAACCCAAACAGTTAAGCATCTACCTTCAGAATAGCACAGAGAATGATGTTTAGTAAAAGCAACATAAACTCAACATGTATGATCTCTGTAAATTGTGAAGAAAAGTTAACACTCCATATGATACTGAAACTCTTATCCAACTATCAATAACATGCCTCAAAACTAAACGACTTGCTCTACCTCTGGTTCTTGTGCTTTCAGTAAACCTATGATATGCAACAACTTACAAGAGACTTGAAAAATTTACAGAAAAATCCAGATTTTGACAAATATATACTAGATTATTAACATATTTGCAAAGATAAAACAAAGAAAAAGTCGATTATAGGGTGTGTTTGGTATGACACAAGTCATTTTCCAGAAAAACATTTTCTGCTGTTTGATTGCCAAAAAAAAAGATTTCTTCCAGGGAAAAATGACTTTCCTCACTTTTGGGCGATAGTTATTTTCCATCATAAATTATCTCCACTCTTAACTTCATGTCACTGCTCCAACCACTAACTAGAAATTATGATTTTTTTTAATAATAACTAGAAATTATTATTAATCTTCTATACTCAAAAATATCATCAAAACACTCTGATTTTCTAATATTATTATTAATCTTTAATATACATTTTCTCCAAAAAATACTTTTCACTTACTAACCAAACACTGAAATTCAAGAAAATATATTCCATGGAATACATTTTCCAAACACACTCAAGAGAAGACAAAAAGCAAAAAATTTGAGCAAATAAATGAATAACCTGTCCTGCAAATGTGGCAACAGTAGATTTTCCATTAGTTCCTGTCACAGCTAAAATCTTAGTACAACTGGGAATAACTTGCGCAGCAAAATCCAACTCGGAGAGTACTTGCTTCCCCTAATTTTGAAAAAGACAATTAAAAGATTGGGTAATGGAAAAAGGCTGCAAGAATCAGGCTATGATCCTGCAATATTCACATGATTCCACTTCTTTTTCTATGTGTACATAACAAAAATTGTATATCAAATTGGACAAATCACCCCCCAAACTCGGACTAATTATGCTTACCGAACATAACATGGAGAAAAGTCCATACTTTTCCAGCGGAACTCCAGGAGAAACAACTACTATATCTGCCTCTTTCAGAATCTCATTATCAAAATTACCAAAAACTGTCTTCAAATCAGCATTATGCTCATCCAAGCAGACATTTTGCTGCATACAACCAAGGACATCTTTTTACTAACACTAAAATCAACAAAATGAGTCACTGAATATTATCCTGAAAACATATACTCCCTCTGTCCTATTTTATGTAGCACACTTTTTCTTTTTAGCCTGTCCCAAAAAATGACATCTTTCTATTATTAGAAAGAATTTAACTTTAAACGTTTTGCCCTTAGGGGTCGTTTGGTATGATGGATAAGCAAAAACAATGCTGGAATAAAAATTTAGCAACGCCTTATCCCTTGTTTGATTACTAATCCTGGGATAAGTTATCCCAGGACTAGAAATAGTATCGAGATAATTTATACCTGTCAGAGGGTGAAATAGTAATCCTAGGATAAGTTATCTCGGGATAAAGTAGTAAAATTGACAATGCCAGGATTAATACAATATACCAAATAGTCAATAAGAAATAATCCCAGTATAACTAATCCCAACATAATAATCTCAGTATAACTAATCCAACATAACTAATCTTAGTATAACTAATCCCATTATAACTTGTCTTCAAACCAAACGACCCCTTAATGTGATGATTTATAGTCAAACAAATGTTTTTGACTTGTTTTTAACGACAAGTTTCTTAAGTAGTTCTTCCTTTCTTAAACTCCGTGCTTAGTCAAATACCGTCGCATAAAATGGGACGGAAGGGAGTATCAACCATAAATTGTTAATTGTACCTTAAAGATTGGTCTCAAATTCTCATTTTGATCAATGGCCAAAACTGAAGCACCCCTAGCAAGAGCAAGCTTAGTAGCAGCTGTTCCTGATTTTCCAAGACCAACTATCTGTAATCAAACCAACAATGGAAACCCTTTTCAACATTTATAAAGATTTTAACCAAAAACTAAAATGGTCTTATTTCTAAATTACTTACAGCAACTGTTTGACCTTTAAGGTCTTGTTTAGGAAAGCAAGATTGAATATTTGTATGTGAGACAGCATTCTTGGCGAGTTTGAAGCTCATTCTTTGGTGCTCAGTGCTAATATTGAAGCTTTTTTAAGCTATTATTATTTTGAACTCTTGAGTGGGATTTTAACGGTTCCATACTTCTGTGGGCCGGGTCGATAAATTTGGGCACAACCAACTCGTTACGATTAATTATCATTAATTAGTATAATTTAATATAAATACTAAACGTGAGATTTTTTTTTTAAAATTATCTACACACAAAATGAACTACGCACAATTGGTTTAAATCTGAAAATATAAACTTGACTGGAGCCTTTTTTTTGTTTGTTTTCTGTTTTGGACTTATAATTAATAACTAAACTAGTTTAATTAGTAGAAGTTCACCACTTAACTAATTCAAATTAGTTATATTAATGAACTAAGCACATTATAGTTGATTATCAAATAAAACCTTGTCTAACTAACAAATAGCCTCCTCGTTAATTTTCAACATTAATTTGTCTTCTATTACTCCTACACTAATAAATTTAGATGCAGTTGATTTTCGGCATCAATTTTTTCTTCTTCTTTTTTGGTACAATAAAAAATAAGGAGAAATTAAAAAATAACCAGATTTACAAGTGATCATTCAAAAATAATCACGTTTAAAAAGTAATCGAAATTTAGTCACTTTTTATGTAAAGATAAATCTAAACGAAAACGTTGTTCAAAATCCGGAAAAATACTTCAGTATATTATGCTAAAACTTTTCTTATTATAGCAAAATAGTGGTTATTTTTTAACGATGTTGTAAACGCAGACTATTTTTGAATAAAAAACTATCTAGGCTATTTTTACTAAAAAGTACTGGACAAAACTTCCTAAACTACATGTCTCATTTGTTCCATCAACTCTCTGTAAAAGGCCAAATACACCCCCTGAATACTTTTTTCTTTTGCGTGGGGCTGTTCCTCCCAAGAAAACACCAGCCATCATACTAAAACTTGCTGGGGTTTTCTTCTAAACAATCATCACCATTTTTTCAGATTTGCTTGTTCTTCCTCTGCATGTGAAAAAACAAAAAAACCAAACAGAAGAAAGCGAAAACACAAAAAAAAAATGGCTTGGGAACCCATTCTTTGGCTGATATTTTTAGTCATTAATATTTCCCTCATCTCATTAATCATCTATCAGGTACCCTTTCTGCCCTTTACTGCGTTCGGCTTTTATTCTTTGTTTCTCCTTCATAAGGTTTTTGAAAGATAAATGGAAATTTAATTTAAATGTTTATTTCACAAATTCTATTTGGGAAAGTTATATTTTTTCCCACGAATTTAATGGTTATTTTTNATATATATATTTGTATTTATTGTATGTTATTTCTAGGAGTCATCTTTTGAAAAAGTTCCAACTAATATGTTCATCTTATCATCAAAAAAGAATCTTTTTATACTTGTGTTGAAGTTGATCACTAAAAGTTTTAAGTTTTAAGTTTTTCTTGTATACTTTTCTGGGTCTATGGCCAAAAAAAAAAAATAACAATAATTTTCTGCTGTCTGAATGTTTTTGCAGTTATGAAGGTTCTTATCAGTTATTTACTTTATTTCAAGTACCACTAAATTGTTCTTTTTGGGCACATTATGTTATTCTTGAGTCTGAAGTTGTTTATTTGGATTTTTGTAGATTGTGTGTTTAACAGATTTGGAAGCTGATTATATGAACCCTTACGAGTCTTCATCTCGTATCAACTCTGTGGTCCTTAAAGAGTATATTTTACATGGTGTATTTTGCATCCTATTCCTTATCACAGGGCATTGGTTTATCTTCCTGCTAATGCTTCTTCCTGCTTACTATAATGCCAGAAAGTAAGTTTCTTTTCTTAAATGGGAGATACTTATGGCTCACCTTAAAAAATGTCGGTGTTTGTTAATCTTCTGATTGCTTGTTCTGCTGTTTTGTTTTGTCAAAGTATTGTGGAGAATTTAGTGTCTGTGTAAGTATGCGGCCTCATTGCTTACTGATGCTGCTATGCAGCCCACTGCTTTGATCTTATTTTATTCTGTCGCTATTACTTTCTGAAATTAGTGAAGGAGCTTGGTAGATTATCAACCTGATGCTATTGCTTAAGTTATAAAGTGTACATTTACATCTTATGTATGATAAATAAATCTCTTATTGATATGTCCTTTCAATATGTTAAAGAGATACCACTTAAGGTCTTTTTGGAGTTGTGGAGTTTGCAACTATGCCTATAACTGGTGGTAATTCAGTTTACTGTAAAACACCATTCTAACAGATGTACGCGCTAGGAATATATATGTTCTAGATAGACAGATATTATATGTGATAAGGAGGAGTACGAGCTGCTTCTCAGTCAATGGTTAAGCTCAGACGTTGATAGACCAGTTGCCAAATTCTATGTTTATACTTCCAAATATGTTATGATTGAGCTGTTCATAACCACATCTCAAGAAACTTTTGCATGATCTAAAATCTGCTAAACGTAGTATAAGAAAAAATAAGAGCGTTATTCTATTATAGTAGATACATGTGCAATGATTTCTAAATTGAACAAAAAACTAAGAGGAAATTGATGACATTCAGTGGCACAAAAAGCTTAGAAGTCTGTCTATTATCAACCACAAAAATTCATGGCGGTGGAATGAATAAGGTTCATGGAGATTTTAAGCAAAAGTAGACTGGTATAGAAAGTTATTGACATCGAAAGATGGAGAGAGCTTTTGAATAGTAAAAGAAGTTAAGAGGACAATTAGCAAAATCTCATATAAAGCATAACGACTTGTACTAAAAGTTAGGGATGCTAGAAATGGAGAAAGAACTTTATAAACTAAGCTAACATGATTGTGAGAGAACGATTTCCTTTCTCAAAACAAAGAGAAGGTAAATACTTCCAACAAATTGTGACAGGAGAGAGTGAAACAAAAGAGAGATAGCGCTGCTGCTATTCTGATCAATTGCTCAACACAAATAATGAGGATAACTACAGATCTTCATACATCTGTGAGAGACTTGAACCTTAGCTCCTGAGTTTCTTCCTCTTCTACCAACCTTGAACTCTTGACCTAGTGAGGTGGAGTAAACTCCCTCAACCACGATGACAAGAATGGGCGATGAGACATAAACCTTAGCTGCACTCATAGAGTTAGGTATACTAAGATGAGAGAGTGTGAGAATTAGAAGAGTATGTGGTCCATATGATATCTTTATAGTGGTTTTCTTACAGTTAATATTCGTTTGTGTGTCTGCTGCTGTGTCGATGTAGCTTGACTCTTTTACATATTTACATGACACTGACACAAAGGGTTCTAGATACAATTTAAAATCTATGTTCTGAGATGCTTTCTTAGATTGCTTTGTTTAAATCTTAACTAAGGGAGGTGTTATTGCATTGCAGATTCTTAAACCGGCAGCATCTTATTGACGTGACTGAAGTTTTTAGGTTCATCGAGTCTGAGAAGAAGAATCGGATATTCAAGCTGGGTTTCTACTTGGTCCTCTTTGTTCTAGTGCTTGTCAGGTTTTATTATGACTCTTGACCCTATTATTTTCCTTCTTCTACTCATATCTTCTCTCAAGATATGCTAATACATAGATTGATTTCTGTTTCTACTTAGAATATACAATGGAGGAACGCGTTCTACTTTGCTATCAGTTTTCCGGTCCAATGATGGAGATTTTGACATTCGCTCCTCAGTTCTTGAATTCTAGACAGTTTTTAGGTCTGATTAGGTGTCTCCTTTGATTTTGAAAAGTAGAATGTGTCCTTTTTTCTCATAATAAGACAGACAGGACTGCTTATGTGATAATGACTCCCTGTTCTTGTTTGCACTCCATTTTAGGTTTTCTGTTCCTTATGATTTTTACACTTTTAGTAATTACTGGGGTAAAATGATAGAATAAAGATTATAGAATAAGCTTGAGTCGGTCCAATGAGAATATCTTGCTTCTTATGCAGCTGTAGTTTGCTCAAAGTTTCTTCACATCTTGTGGAGCCTCTATCTAACCATCTGATAAGTCCAGTAATGATGTATTATAGTTAAACTCAGTTCCAATTTTAGGTCCAGAGAGAAAAGCTTTGGCCTTAGTACAATGTATTCCAGTTTCCATGGTATGAGCTTGACATTTTTTAATTCAAATTACAGCTAACTGATGACAAGGCTGTCCATCCGCACTACAGTAAATGGAATCTTGAATATTCACTTCAAGAGTTAAAGTGATCAACATTATCTTAAGAGCTACTAAAGAAAAGAATGGCGAGTGTTTGTGTGCTGCTGTAATTTGATTGGAAAAGTTGGTACTTGAAAATTGATGTTGAAATGTATATTACAGCTGCGGATAGCTAGAGCAATAAAATGGTAGACTAGCACTTTTGTGGAATAGTTACAAAATGATGTCACATGTTCAGTGAAGAAGCCATAATCATACAATCAGTGCAAAATGAAAAATATTGTAGGTTAGCCTGACTGGTATAGTGGTATTGTTTAGTTACCGAAAACTGCGATATTGGTCTGAAGTAAAATGTTAGCTAAAAAATGCTAGATTCTCTTAGCTTCGGGCTGCTCGAAGATGTGATAGAGCCACATGTAAGAATTGTAAGGTTATACTGCGAGAAATACTAACTTTTACCCACCATAGACTAGTAGTCTTAGATGTGAAGAGGAAGAGTGATGCATTTAAGGAGAGGACATACAAGATATCGAGAATTAAGGGCTGGGTACTAAATGGCACAAACCAAGTAGCTTTTAAGGACAAATTACAGAAGGGGAAGGGGCATGGGATGCAGGAGATGCAGATACCGAATGGAAGGAAATGTGAAGTAGCACTAAGAAAGTAGCAAGTGAAGTTCTAGGAGTGTCTAAAGGTCTAGGGACTCGACCAAAAGATTTGTGGTGGTGTAATGAGGAAGTGTAAAAAGTTGTTAAGACCGAGAGGAAGCTACCAAAATCATAAGGAAGAGAAGCATTTGAGGAAGAAAAGAGAGCTAAGAGAGAAGCCAAGAAAGTAAACAGTAGAGCTAGAGGGAAAGCTCTAGATGGTTCGTACCCAAAGTTAGGGATACAAGAAGGAGAAAACGAAAATGTATAAACTAGCAAAACTATGAGAGAAGAGGGGTAAAGATGTGAACTAGGTTAAGTGCATTAAAGATGAGTCCCAGCTAGTCTTACAGGACATAGTGAGATCAAAAAGAGATGAAGAGCCTATTTTGATCATTGTCCAACTCACGCTACAAGGATAACTTTGCAGATCATCATACTTCCCTGCTAGACAACAACTGTAACTACACTCGTAGGATTAGATTCATAGAAATAAGGGATTCCATGAAACATGTGGAAGTTAGAAAAACTTGTGGACCAGATGGTGTCCCTATAGAGGTCTGGAAGTGCCTCATAGAGGCTGGAGTAGAATGGATTCTCATGCTATTCAATGCTGTATTGATGAGTGTAAGATGCCAACCTGGTGGAGGAAGAGTACTTCGATTCTCATATACAAGAACGAAGGAGACATTAAAGTTGTGCTAACTATCAGGACATTAACTTTTCATCCATACGATAAAACTATGCGAAAGAGTAATAAAGCGGAGACTTAGATCCACTACAAGGGTGATAGAGAACCAATTTGAATTTATGCCTGGTAGGTCTACAAACAGGCCATATTTTACTAAGAAGGTTGATGAAAATTTGTAGGTCAAAAAAAGACCTACATGTGATATTTATTGACTTAGAGAAAGCAGATAATAGAGCGCCATGAAGTGTCCTTTGGTGGGTATTGGGAAACAAAAGAATTCATGTCAAATATATAAATGTCATAACTCATAAAGGATATGCACGAAGGAGTTGTCACAAGTGTGAGACCAGTGGTAGGAGACACGGAGTTGTTCCCCATCACCGTGAGTTCGCATCATGGCTCTATGCTAAGCCCATACCTGGTTGCCCTTGTCATGGATGACCTAACCAGCAATATGCAGGATGAGGTTATTATGATGCATGCTCTTTCCCGACAATATTTCTTATCAGGATAAGTTGGAGTAAGACAGAATACATGCACTACAAGTTTAGCCAACGAGATAGGATTGAAGTTTGGGTGAGATTAGATGGAATTGAGATACTTAAATATAGACATCTTAGATAGATATCTAGTTCAAGGAGAATGGAATGGTAGTGAAGATATTGTTTCTACTTTACCTTGTATAAAAACAAAGATAAATGAAGATGTTACACATAGGATTTAAAATAGGATATGGAAGAGTGCCACAAGAGTGTAATGTGATAGGAAGATACCTAGTAAAGTGAAAGACAAGTTTTATAGAATGAAAGACAAGTTTTATAGAATGATGGTAAGGTAAGCAATGTTGTATGGGAGTGAATGTGAGGCCTCTAAAGCCCAACATATCCACAAGATGAGTGTCGCATAGATGAATGTTAAGATGGATGTGTAGTCACACAAAGACAAAATTAGATAAGATCAGAAATGATCACATTTGTTAGAAGGTACAAATAGCGCATATGGAGGAGAAAATGAGCGAATGTTGCTCGAGATGATCTTGCCATGTGTTAAGTGGGTCTCTTGATGCTTTGGTTCTTAGATGTGCAAAAATGATGATTTAAGATGTTGAAAAAGGTTAGACCTAAAATCACATGGAAAGAAGTTATCTCAAAAGATTTAGAATATCTTGGAATCCAGACAGATCTTGCAATAGATAGAAAACGAAGGAAGTTAAATATTTGCATAGGTGATACCAGCTAGAAGATTAGTACTTACTGGAAGACTCTTAGTATATTAGAGATATAATCACTAGTATATTTAGGGAATTCCTAGGAAAAATAATCCTTAAATATGGTGTATTGAAATATTATGGTCTAAGCTTTTTCAAAAAAAAAATATTATGGACTAAATAGAGCATTTATGATATTAGGGATCCATAAAATTGCAACTAGCTTGGGATTGAGGCATGGTATTTATAGCTCAATATATATAAATAGAGGGGGGAGGGGGGGGTTGAGATGGTTATGACAGTACATTTGGATCCCTGCTTATCCTTGTTCTGAACGCGAGTAATATAATTATAGGTAGAATAGTCGAAAACAAAATGGAAAATCAAAAGTTATATAGGAGGGAGGGAGGGAGGGAGAGCATCAAATAAAGAAATAATTTTTCTTGGTTCATATTTATTTGTTCGACTAAGAACTCATTCAGAGAAAGTAGGAACATTTTGCTTGTAGTTAGAGTTATTTGTCGAGTTGAAATCCCAGCTACAAAGGCTTTTCCGAATGCTTTTATGAAGCAAAGTATGAAGTCGCTATGACGTCATTGGTATTGTAAATTATGCATAGTAAAGTGCTAATTCATGCCTGCAGATTTTGCATCGTATCTCTGAGTAGAATAGATGACAGTTGTTTTATGAAAAGTTTTAGACATGGTTTCAAAGCACTAGATGATGTTCTCTTTCTGGAAAATCCTGTCAAGTATGGAAGGAGTAGACGTCATCTTAACAAAAAGTTTGATATACCCAGCTACCCCAAAAGGATGGGCATATTTAGTATTATAAAATACTGCATGCGGCATTTAGAAGCCTTCTATTCCTCTTCTGATATATTTTTGTCGACTATAACATACTACATGTCTTTTCTGATCAAAATGAATTCTTCCATGCAGTCTGGTCCTATCTTTTATCAACGCTCTAGTCGATGAAGATGATGCTATCGATTTCGGTTCCTTACCACTGCCCAGTTTCTTTTGAAGATATTTTCCACTTTTTGGTCAAGGAGATAGATAGCTGAGGTCTGATCAACCAATATAGTCCTGGGAAACGTCTACTTGAGTTCCGAGCTAACCTAGTTACTCTAATTTGTATCTGCTGGTTATTTTTCAAGAAATTTTTTGTTCAAACTGTATCAGGCTTGACTTTTGACAGTCTTTTCGACATTAGATTGTTCACTTGCTCTTTTGCGCTCAGTCTGGTGCACTTAGGCTTTTAGTTGAGTAACTCTGGCAGTTGAATAGCCATATGAGCTATATGTTACATATCTTATAAATGTCCTGTAGACTTTTCCTAATAGAAAGCCTCATTTTGTCTCCTACATTGGAGTTTTTTTTTTTTTTTTTTTTTTTTTTTTTTTTTTTTTTTTTTTTTTTTTTTTTTTTTTTGCTTCTAGTTGGCTTATTGGAAGCCTTTATGGTTATCCAATTACGAATGTGACACATTGACATTCAATTGTTAAAATGAAAGATAAAAATGATATTACTTAGTGAATAATAACAGTTAACAGGTCATTCTAACAGTTAACTTTAGAAATCTCGTCTTTGTTTCTCACGTATGAAGACGCTATTACATTTAAAAATAAATAAACAAAGCTGTATCTGAATCCCTTTAATATGTATCACGAATGATCCCTTTAAATTTATTGTGTGGTCCAGAAAATACTTTTTTTCCTGGCAAAATATAAAATCGTCTGGTCGGAAAATTAATTGCATTTCTTTAGCCAAAAAGTATATATATATATTTATAAATAAAAAATTAGTGTGGCGATTATTTTTTGGGCAGCTAAAAATATATATTTCTCCTTCCGGTGACCGATAAATTAGCGGGCCAACTTAATCTTGCATCTGTCTGATAAGTGATTATTAGGGAGACAAGGCTTTGACATTTCACGTACGACTGTTTCATGAGTTGCCTTTCTCTGTCTACATGAAAACTACACTATTGAGAGTTCGTTTGGTACCAGAAATAAGTAATAATTAATTTCGAGATTAAATTTGAAATGAGTTTATTCTACGTTTGATTGGGATAAAATCGTGATATAACTAATCTCGAGGTTAGTTATCCGGGATTATAGCATTTTTTTATCCTTATACGAGGTTGAGATAACTAGATAACTAATCCCGGAATAATTAATTATGTGATAACTTGTTTCCCAACCAAACGACCCTGACAGATTTAGTAGATCAGGCCAATTTAGATTAGCAAAAAGCGCAATGGAGACTTTTGCACTTTTTGCTGATTTTTTATCTTAGGCATCTATTACTTAGTGACTTTGATTAATTCGTTTTTGACTCTCGAAATTTGAACTGGTTCAATTGAGATAGAGCAAGTATTTATTTGGGCAAGTTACACATTTAGTCGATCAACCGAAAATAATTATATACGTTAGTCAAATATACAAAAAATATATATTAATTATGTATAAAATATGTATATTATGTGTTAATATACGAAAAATATATAATTTATCTGCTAGCACTTTTAGGAACGGCTATACAGTATAGTTTTCCCTATTTATTTTGTCATCTCTACTCAGTGTGAATAGACAAAAAATTCCTCATTCCAATCATCATTAATCTATATTGTTAACTGGCGTCCAGGCTTGTATGTTGGTTTTATTAGGGAATTTTTACCTCCTACGGCAAAGGTTAACACCTTATTTATTTTAAATAAATATCATTTAAAAAATTATATTCTATAGATACCTTTTAAGGTTTATAGCAAAATATTTAATTTTGGTTACTTCCTAGCCCTAAGCCACTAAATACGCTAATCAGTTACACTATTTTGTTTCTCTTTCTACTTTGATACATCCCATTCTCTTCCCCATCCCATTAAAATTTTCGATCTCCTCCTCCGAAATTGCTCCGGCTCCCACATCCGACGACTGCCAAGTCCACCGAAACTCTCCCATTTTGTCTTGCATACCGCCACATTGTAACCAAAATTTCTCAAATATGCCATTACATTCCTCTGGAGTATCGATTTATTCGATTTTGCACATGAAAACACTTCCAATGCCTTAGCAATACAAGACGCCAATACATTACGGTACAAATCGAGATCGCTTTGGCCATTGTTTTCAGGATAACCGAAAACGAGATCAGAAAAACTAGGAGAAGCGACATCATCATGATCGGCGTGAGCGCTGTGTTCGCTTTCACATCTGAAGTAACCGAGTTCATGTTTATCACAACTAGGAGAAGCAACATCATCATGATCGGCATGAGTGTTGTGTTCGCTTCCGCTACTGAAGTAACCGAGTTCATGTTTTTCTCATTTGTATTTCAATGTATCCAGCTGTATTCTATGTATTTCATTGTATTCACTGTCTCGCTATATGCCATGAATGTATTCATAAGTTTTTTTAATTAATATAATTTATATATTCAGATGTATTATATAATTTCTCTGAAGATTGCTATATTTTAAGGGTATTTTTCGGTTGATAATCTTTTTTATACAAGGAAATATAAAATTTGTGTCTTATAATTGAGTTTGTTGAGTTATATTAGGAGACTATTATGTTAATTGATTCACTTTCCCTTTTAAAAATAGTGTAATCTCCCATTTCACGCCGTGAATACAGTCGAATACAATAATCTGTCCAGCTGTAATCCCATGTTTCACTCCATGAATACAGTCAAATACACTCGAATACAACAACTGATTAGCTGGACTTCCCTGATTCACGCCTATTTTTGCTACTGTATTCATGAATATAATATCTTAAATACATCCAATACATCTCATAACCACATAAAAAGTATCTATAATCCGTAATATAACAAATGATATCTATAGATGGCTAATGACTATTAAAAGATAGTACTTTGTGAAAATTTTCCAATTAGCCCAAATGTTGAGCCCAGTAGGACAGGGCATTTTATCTAGGTAGGCCCAGCTGGCCCATGTCTTACAATTTTCTTTTCTAAAGAGAAATTATTAGATTGCTCATAATAAAGCATAGTGTTCAAAAGGAAAATTGAGAAGTCTGTCCATTTAATTTATTGCAGTTGGATTATTAAATTTGTACTATTTAATAAGTACTAGTCTTAGTTGATGTGTTAAAAAGATGAAAATTATGGACAACTTTGATATGCCGTCTATGTATTTGACAATTGAAACAGTGGGAATAGTAATTTTATTAAGATTCAGAAGATCATAAAAGAAAAGAAATCAAGGCAACTTTCATGAAATAAAAATTTATATAAAAAATTACATTAAAAATAAGTATAAAATTTGAAAAATAAATAAAAGAAAATTATAATATAATGGAGAGAAAATGACAGGTCATTCAGCGTGATAAAAAATTGTCGGGGTCTGGATTAGCATTCGGTCCCCACACTAACGCCCACCCGATTTCAGTGTATTACCATACGCCCTACTACCCCTCTCTCTTTGATGAGTCCAGATCCAAGGTGTGATTCTTTTGGACTCAAGCAGTACAAATAAGTAAAAAAAAAATGAGCATCATTTTATATATAGTGCGGTTATTTATCGCGTTATACCTTAACGACACGTTTGTTCTTCAAGATATAGCATGGTGAATAACCGCGCTATATTTAAATTCAAAAAGGACGGGAGGTATAACTATAGTATAGTGCCCTGTATACATGCACTATACCTATTTAAAAAAGCTGGTCATCACCTTCCCCGACGAGAAAATCAGTAGAGTCCCCCAAACCCCTATTCCAACGATTCCAACCCCCCCTCTCCCAATTTAAAGTAAAAAAACCCATTGAAGCCCACCCCTCCCATAAAAGTGTTTCTTCTCGGTATTGTAGCAAGCTAACACTAGATCTAAGGCGTTATCGCATAGTGGATTGCTCGTTTCGTGTAACGACTCGACCGGTCGTTCTGAGANAATTTCTGCTGCAATTTTCTGCAGAAGGTCTTTGGACTGCAATCGTGGAGTGTACTTCGGAGGCATATATCTTTTGATCTACAAGGAATTTTGAGATGATTTAAAAACGAAAGTTGTACCCCTTCATATCTAGTTTCCAGAAAACTAAATAAATCGTAATTTGGACATTTGTAGAGAAAGTTATTGTTGATTAAAGATGACTAGTGGAGCAGTTTCTCCAGAAATTTTCTGATTTCATGGAGCCGATTTAGAAGCTCATATCTCGGGATATATAAAGAGTTATATGGTGTACAACCTATCAAATTAAAGATCTTTGAGTCTAGTTTCTAAATCTTCAAACCGTTTGTCATTTGGATATTTATACAAGACGTTATGGGTGTTTAAACAGAAGGTGTCCGACAAGGAACAATTTTAATAGGATGTACAACTTGTATTGCACAAGTGCAAGGTACAACTCGACGAAGCCCGGACAGATTCTTTTAAACACGGATTTGGCTTATTTCTTTCATTTCTTTCATTTGGCTTGGATTATTTTGGAGAGAATTTCAAGGGGGATTTCATCAAGCATCAAATGTGAGTTGTTTCTACTTATTTCCAAGTTAAATACATGGATTAGAGCTGAAAATTCAAGTAATTTATGGACAAAAATGGTGGTTTAGGACTTGAAACTTAAGAGAATTAAATGGTGATTTGAGGGGTCAAATGAATTCCGATTTTTATGAATTTGGTATGTATAGACTCGTGGCGAGATAACGGTCGTATTGATGTAAAAATTTCTGAATTTCGAGACGTGGGTCCGGGGCTCGGGTTTTGCTAATTTCGGGATTTTCGACATTTTTCGAGTCTTTTCGATTGGGTTATATTCCCTTAGCCTATTGTAACGTATTCATTGTGGTTTTGACTAGATTTGACGCGCGAAGAGGCCGATTCAAGAGGAAAGGGCATTGCGGACTAGTCTACGGCCGGTTAGAGGTGAGTAATAGATGTAAATGCTATTCTGAGGGTTTCAAACCCCGGACTTTCACATC